GAATACAAGTAAGGTACAATTTAGTACAATTTAAACATGCCATATATCAAGTCAAAAATGGAATACAAGCAAGGTACAATTTAATACAATTTAAATCAATTTAAATTCATTAAATCTCTATATTTGAAAACTCATTTAAATCACCCCAAATTAATAGACAACAAAGATCAAGTCATGGTCATGCCATATATCAAGTCTAAAGTGAGTTATATGTAAGTTACAATAAATCATTTATTTCTCAAATTGATATAAAACATGCATACAACTTGTATTTCACTACAAAAGCAATTAAAATCATTTAGAAAATAAACTATAACACCCCCTACCTCACAAGAGGATTGTTCATCTTGAATCCAAGACAAATTAACACAAAATGGCAAACCCTTCAAGGGTTATGTAGAGGAGGATGAGACAAAGCTTTTGTATTCCAAGCTTTATGATCAAAGGTACTCAAAAGAGGTGAGTGGAGGATCTAGTATTCCTCCACTCACTATGTGCTATTACACTACCTCTCACACACACACAAATGCAAGACAAAATATGGTACCTACACTTTTCACCATCCTAAGTAATCATCCAAGGCTTGATCTTAAGCCTACACTTGTCAACTATCCATGCCAACAAGTGCTCCTATCCTAGGCCAACAAATGAGTGAATCTCCACCCTCCATGTGTCATCAAAACTAAGCCTCCAAGTGGTTCCACCACAATACTAACAAGTGGCTCCATGGGAATGTGACACTTGTCACACTTTTCAAAAATTACAAAAAGGTCATTTTTCAAAATATCTTCTAAATTAAATTACAAAATGGTCCCTAAGATGAAAAATAATTACTTTATGTAATTACACAAAAACCCCACAAGTTAAAAATATTACAAAAAAAGTTATGCATCCATACCCTTTACAAGAAAAGTAAACATTTAGCATGCTTTTCTAAGAAAGTAAAAATACATATGGCATGGAATTTAAATATTGTGGATGCATGCAAAAACTGGAAACAAATCCGAACACGAAAAGTGAGGTTGGGCCAATAAAATGACAAACGGGAAAAAGACGAAAAGTGAATAGTGTCAAAAAAGTGAAAATGTGAAAATGACTCGGTCCTTAAGGGAAGTTGTCAATCCAAAGGAAAGAGTCTCGGAAACCATTTTTGAGTACTTGAAATGATACTAAGTGACGAGAAACTGAACTCAGAAAAGAAATTTCAACAAAAAAATTCATCTGTAAAATTCTGAGGAAAAAAGAAAGGAAGGAAATGACCGGGTCATTACATGGGCTAGTAACCCTAAAGTAACTATGGTGTCGGTCTAATCCGACGTAATGTCCAAGTATCCACCTTGTTTGATTTCACTTTTCATTTCAAGTTGATAACTAGATGATATCGTAACTTGTTGTTCCTTAACTGATTTCCCATTTTGAGTTTCAAGATGTTACCTTTGAGAAATCATGTTTTATACGTTGTATTGGAAGTTCCAATGTTGGTTAAATTGCATCGATATTGTGATTTGTGTTTTGATGTTCAAATGTAGCTTAGGAACAATCCTATAGATTCATTTAGAACATAGACATTAGGTGGCATGATTCACTTTAGTTGTTTTCGTGTTTTAGATTTCAAGTTGCAAGTTGAGGACTTTGAGAATCTATATCTTGTTGCTTTGTATAACATGCTTCCATGTTATTAAATTGCATGAATGATGTGATTTATGCTATAAATGATCTAAGGTAGAATGTTTCCCGAGTCTCATCTTGACATAGACGTTAGGTGGCATGAGCCCCTTTAACTTGTTTCACTTTAAGGTGATAATTTTGTAAAATGCTAGGTCAATGCATGGTCATTTCCTACAAGTAGCTTTATATTACTCACTCAGAAGTTACTGGGAATTTTTTTTTGGTATGAAGACTTGGTTCGTGATGCTCATCATACTTTGGATGACTTGTAACTTTTAAGTTTCCATTTCATGCAAATGTTACCATGAAATGTCGTTTTGTAGCTTTATATGTCTAAACTTGTATCTTCGATTCCACATATTTAATGTGTACATAAGTACACCTTTTACGATGTATTTGACTTGTGTGAGATGAGCCCGGAGGCCAATGACATTTATATTGCATCTTATGTAATTCTTGATTTTATGAAATATTATGAAAATATTGAAAAATGACAAGTCATTGCTTCACCATATTTGCATCGGGTGTAGGAATTCCATTTTTATTCTTTCATAGGGTCTCATTAACCATGTTTGAAGTGTGGCCAATGGTCAAACAGTAATTTGAAATCATTTGTTAATTTTGGTTTTCAAATTTCCCATTTCTTGTTCATATTTATCATTTTTTGGCCATCGGGGGGTAGATTTTGAGTCGGGGCTTCTCAGGAGCCGCGGACCATTCCCACGCAATTAGAATCATTTATTACATTTGTGTGCACATTTGTTTCAACCTAGAAATGCATTTAGGGTTAAATGCATACTTGGTGCAAAGTTGCATTTTTGAGTTTTTAAGCCCTTATTGATCTAGGGGCATTTTGGCCATTTCACAGTGTATTTTTTCATTTTCTCTCACATAGCCGTGTAGAAAATTTGATTTCGGGAGAGGTTTCTTCTTCGTATTTTTTCAGAAAAATTCGTTTCATAGCTCGTTTTTTTTATCTCAGATGTGGAAGTTACTTTAGCATCTTTTTGGGTCATCTTGACCTCTTCTGATCTAGGGACATATCTGGTATTTCACATTGTGTTTTTTACATTTTCTTCCATGTAGCCGGGTAGAAAACTCGATTTCGGGGGGGGGGGGGGGGTTCTTCTTTGGGTTTTTTCCAGAAAAATTCGTTTGATAGCCCGTTTCTGCTCTCAGAAGCAATTCTTTTTGGCCCTCTTGACCTCTTCTGATCTAGGGGCATTTTAGGTATTTCACAGTGAATTTTTTTCATTTTCTTCCACGTAGTCAAGTAGAAAACTCGATTTTAAGGGGGGTTTCTTCTTTGCGTTTTTCTAGAAAAAGTCATTTCGGACCTCGTTTCGGCTCTCAGTTCTAGCCTCGTTTCGGCTCTCAGTTCTGGCTGAGCCTTTTTTCTTCTCCTAGCACGTCAAGATGCTCGTGGGGATGCTTGTGGGGTGCTCGTCTCGACGTCGTGACGTCGATTCTTGTTTTCGCTCGTTCTCCTTCGTCCGGACTCCAAATCGAGTGAACTTTTTTTTTAACTTGACTAATTTTTCGCTGTCTTTCCAATGGTGTGCTTGGTTACACCCAGATCTTCCTAAAAAATTACCAGTTTACCCTTTTAGCCTTAAGTGCTCATTTTTCTTCGTCATGCCATTTCTCCTTCGTCCGAACTCTGAATCATGTGATTCTTGAGTCCATCTTGATTAGTTTTTCATTGTCTTTCCAGCACTATGCTCAGTGGCACTCAAATTCATATTTTTATAAAATTACCATTTTACCCTTGGGGGCTGATTTGTCATATTTTCGATCTTTTGCTTCCGTATCAATTCTCATTGAGTTCCACGATCTCATGGAATGTCACTTTGACTTTTTAGAGTCTTGTTTTCTGTTTTCGCTTCTCATTCGGATCCGTTATTGGGTCAATTTTCGGTTCATCACAGGACGCACAGGCTTGAAAAATTAGGGCCATCACAGTGAGTGATTTTTATCCTTAATAACACACTCACATTAATTTTTAGCACCAACATGGGAAGACCAACATAAGGTCATAAGAAGAAGTGAGAGCGAACTAATCAAGTACTAGGTTTCGGTCCAGAGGATAAGTGTTCAGCCAAAGTTGATTCTTAAAGCATATTTTGGCATTTTGGTTTGATTGGGCTATTGGTGTTCTCGCCATCATTTTTGCAACTTCGATCAAGTGCCCCTTCAATCATGATGTGTTGAGAGATCTAATTAAGAAGGAAAAAAGGATTAACTCGTAAAAACACGAGTAATACCCAAATTTAAAAATTTTTAATTTTAATTATATGTCTAAATTATAATTGAATTACGTTAATAAATATGACAAACTTAACTCTCTTAGGAGAGGACTCAAGTGTCGTCCAACAATTATTTTAAAATTAAATAAACCATGAAATAAAAATATAGAGAATTGAAGAAAAGCAACAGCAACAAGACACACAAACAATCCAATAACTAGAGAAGTCATTAAAATAAGGGAATCCAAAAGTCCTTCGCAATCCTACAGCTCTCCATCGATCTCTCCTTCCCGTCCGGTCATTAGCAATTTTCCCGGCGAGGCAAGTAGCTGCAATAATGATCCTGTCTTGTCTCTCAGTCCTAGAGCCCACGTGGATCTGACAGCACACATTCCCAGTACTTGTGCCATCCCGTCTCTCTGTTCTCCAGTCATATCTTCAGAAATGCATTACAAAGGTGTGGATCTTTCTGTATCTTATCATATGGATTCTTTACCGATTTTATTATCGTCTGCAGTCAATGAGGCTTTTACCCCTATGGATCCCCAGAGTCTACCGATTCCAATATGTATTACTAAAAGTGACGGGCTTTTGTCGTCTAGGTCCAGCCTTCAAGAGGCCCAGTTTGCTTAGTCTTCAGGACCCAACTCTCAGGTTCCTCTCCTATTAGGCCGAGATACCCACCCAAGTCCAGTACCTCCTTCTCCTTCCATCTTGCAAAAATTTAATCCCTCGTCCCAAGTCCCAGATAGTCCCGAGTCCAAAAAGAACGATATTTCCTCATCCCCAAACACTCTCATTTCCCCGTCTTCTTCCAAAGATGAAATTCCCAGCCATAGATCATGGAAGCGAAAGGCCAGAAAGCAAACGGAATACAGCTCTGTTGATCCCCAATATTCTCGCAAAAAGAGCCTTGACAGTTCTGATGTATCACCTTCTGTGACTCCCAAACGGTCTAAAACAACTATCTCTCCTCCAAGTCTCAAGACTTCTGATGCTTTTCTTTCCTCCCAATCCCCTAATCTGGTGGTGGTAGCCAGCCTTGAATGGCCCCAACCCCCCCCCCCCCCCCCCCCCCCCCCCCTAATGAAGGTCCTGGTGTGGAATTGTCAGGGTTTGGGGAACCCCCTGACAGTTTCCCAGTTGAGGAGGCTTGTTAGTCTTCATTCCCCTCCTTTAATTTTTTTTTCTGAAACAAAGAATACTAGAGATCGTGTCGATCATCTTTGTGTCCTTCTGGGTTCATACGAGGTTTTTAAGGTTCCGTCTGTGGGTAGGTCTGGGGGTTTGGCCCTTCTGTTTTCAAAAGAGTGGCAGATATCTATAATCGATTTTTTCGAATTTCAGATTACTTGTAAAGTGGTTGGAGGCAAAGGGGATCGCCCTTGGTTTTTTACAGGAGTTTACGGTTCTTGTAAGGACAAGGAACGGGCTTTCCAATGGAGATATCTTCATAGCCTTATGTACCAGTTAGGCCCTCAATGGATCTTGATGGGTGATTTTAATGTCGTTCTCCACAAAGATGAAAAACGAGGTGGCCGTATTAAACAAGGGTGGATGCTTAAGGAATTTAGATTTTTTCTGGAAGATTGCAAATTGGTGGACCTCTATTTCAAAGGCTCTCCTTTTACTTGGCGCAATAACAGGGACTCAGGTAAACTCATTCTAGCCCGTTTGGACAGAGCTTTGTGTTCTAGTGCTTGGTTCAATTTTTTCCCTAGAAGCATGTTACATCATATTTCAGTCCAGGGATCGGATCATAATGCGATATTGCTATGTCTCAACAATTCAATATCTCACTCAAAAAGGAATTTTTACTTTGATGCTCGTTGGGTTAAGGATGAAGGTTTCAAGCCCGTTATTGAAAAGACATGGGACGTTTCTTTCCCAGGTCCACCTCTTCAAGGTATTCAGAATAAATTATCTCAGTGCCAAATGGATCTTAAGTTTTGGAGACGGGGCAAATGTAATAATTCGCAAGTCAAGATTAGGATACTCGAATAATAGTTGCAATATCTTAAGGAGCAAGATTCAGAGATTGACAAAGTCCATTTATTTCGGTTAGAGCAAGAATTAGGTCAAGCCTGGAGAGAGGAAGAACTTTACTGGTTGCAGAAGTCCAGAATTGCTTGGTTGCATCATAGGGATAAAAATACGAATTTCCATCGGAAAACAAAAATCCGTCGTCGCAAAAATGAGTTCTTTGGAATTGAGGATCACCGTGGTCAGTGGCAGGATTCAAAGGATGATATACGCCGGGTTGCCAAAGATTACTTTCAAAATCTTTTTACGGCTCTTCCATCACAAGATGATTTTTTGTTTTGGGAGTTGGTTCAGTCCAAGGTTTCCTCGGAAATGAATCGCGAGCTTTTGCAGGAAGGTACTGCAGAAGAACTTTTTTCAGCTTTGGATTGCATGGGCCCTTTTAAGTCTCCTGGTCCAGACGGTTTTACACCGCTCTTTTTCCAATCAAACTGGGCAATTCTCAAGGGGGCTCTTGTCCAAGCTTTTAATTCTTTTCTCCAAGGGCATCCTTTTCCTGCGGAGCTTAATTCTACTTTGCTGGTTTTTATCCCCAAAGTTCCCCACCCCACTTCCATGCAAAATTTCCGGCCGATAGCATTATGTAATGTGTCCTACAAGATTTTCTCAAAAGCTTTAGCAAACAGACTCGAGCCTTTTCTTCCTTGCCTTATTAATGATGCGCAGAGTGCTTTCGTTCCCAACCGATTGATTCACGACAATATTTTTTTGGCACATGATCTGATGCATGTCCTTAAGTCCAAAAAATACGGCGACTCTCATTTAATGGCCCTTAAACTTGACATGGCAAAAGCTTATGACAGAGTCAGTTGGTCATTTCTTCGTCAGTTTATGCTTTGGTTGGGTTTTGATCAGCAATGAGTGGGTATGATGATGGAATGTGTTAGTACTGCTTCTTTCTCTGTGTTGATTAATGGCAAAAAAAGGTGCTACGTTTACTCCTTCTAGCGGTCTTCGTCAGGGTGATCCCCTTTCCCCTTTCTTATTCTTTTTCTGCACTGAAGGCCTGTCCTTGTTGTTCCAGGAAAGTGCTCGTTGTAATCGCCTCCGGGGTCTCAAAATGGGCAGGGGTTGTCCTTCCATTTCCCAATTATTATTTGCAGATGACGCTCTTCTCTTTTGTCAAGCTAGGGAACGTGAAGTGCAGAGCATCAAATCCCTTTTGGATCGTTATGAAGGTCTTACTGGGCAGTTTGTCAACCTCGATAAATCATGCTTATATTTTTCTCCTAATTCTCCGTCTCCGCTTAAGGCCTGGTGTAGACAATGTTTGGGCTTTCGCAATGTTGACTGGTGTAATAATTATCTGGGTCTGCCATCTCTTATGGGAAGGTCAAAGATTGCAACTCTAAATTTTATATCAGAGAAAGTTTCCTCCAAAACCAAACTTCTCAAAGGCACATTGTTATCTAAGGCGGGTAGAGAAGTGATGGTGAAAGCGGTCTTGTCCGCCATTCCTACTTTTCTAATGCATTGTTTCAAACTCCCAAAACACACCTGTAAAAAATTATCTAGTACTCTCTTGAACTTCTGGTGAAGTGGGGAAGAAAAATCTAATAAGCTTAAATGGATAAGCTGGGACACTCTTTGCAAAGCTAAAGTCGACGGCGGTATTGGTTTCAAGAACGTTGAAGCTTTCAATCTGGCTCTTCTTGCTAAGATTGCATGGAGGATGGAAGTGGGAGATGACTCCCTTCTTTTTAAATCTTTCAAAGCCAAATACTTCAAAAATTGTAGTTTTTTGGATGCACCAAACAGGTCCAGTGCTTCCCTTGCTTGGAAAAGTATTCTTGCGGCGAAAGAGGTTATTCAGAAGGGTATGAAATGACGTATTAGTAATGGTTCCTTGGTTAATTGCTGGACTGATAATTGGCTTCCTGATGTATCAAATTTTTCTATTTCCTCTTCACCTGCTGGAGCTACCTTCTCATTGGTTGCGGATCTTATTAATCATTCTTCCCACACGTGGAACTCTTCTATGATTAATCATTTTTTCAACCTTCGAGATAGGAAGCTTATTTTTCAAATCCCTCTCAGTTGTATGGGCGACGCTGATTGTAAGGTGTGGGGAGCATCCAAGGATGGACGTTTCTCAGTCTGCAGCGCATACCATGTGGCTCTATCTATCCTCTTTCCCCAGTCCAACCGTTCTCCTGCTGAAAGTTGCAGTTTTGACAATGTTAAAGGATTTATGTGGAAACAGTTGTGGTCCATCGGTACCCATAGAAAAATTCAAATTTTCTTGTAGCAAAGTCTCCATGATCGACTCCCGGTGAATCATCTTCTGTTTTTTGCGGGACGTGTCTGGGTCTTCTACTTGTCCAGTCTGTGAGGCAGCAGTGGAGACCATTGATCACGTTCTATGTTCTTGTCCTTTGGCTTGCATGGTATGGAAACTTAGCCCCCTTCGACGAGATTTTTGCAGTCTTTCATCAAGCTTTTGGCCTAAGAGGTGGTCTGACCTCTGTTTTGATCTTTCCCAGTCCGAGGTTCCGCATGATGGTTTGAGTTTAGCTACGTTTATTTGTTGGCGAATATGGAAATGTCGCAATGATTTAATTTTCAAACGGAAGTGATGGGACCCTTTTGCGGCTGCTCAATCTGCTTTTTCCGACTTTCAGGAGTTTACTGAAATTCAGCGACATAATTGTTTGCTTCGTTCCCCCTTTCCTTCTTTTCCAGTTCCTCCGGCGAGATGGACGGCGCCAACAATGGGTTTCCTCAAACTGAATTTCGATGTTGCTTTCAGCTCTATCAAGAAGTAATGTGGGGGTGGTATGATCCTTCGAGATCATCTTGGGCATCCTATTAAGATTGCTACTGTTTTCGTAGAGAATGTTCATTGTCCAACGATCGCCGAAAGTCTCCTTCTTCGAGCATCACTGCTTCTTCTCAAGAACTGGGGTTATAGAGATGTGGTGGTTGAGGGTGACTGTTAATCTGTTATGTCTTTGAAGCCGATTGTGGAAGGCATATTTGTTATTTTCAAAGATGTTCAGTCTCTTCTTCAGGCTTGTGGGGGTTCTTCCCTTTCTTGGGTTCCCCGGAAGGTAATTGTGTTGCTCATATACCGGGCAAGCATGCCCTTGTGGCCGAATGTGGCAATGTCGAGTGGAGCGTCTGGCCCAATAGTTGTTAGATCTTCGCCCCAGTTGTTTTCCTTTTCGTTCTGGAATCTAGTTGGTTTGCTTGGTGTTAAAAATAAAATATAAAATAAGGGAACATTTATTAATAGTCGAAATTATAAAGTGATGACTCATGGCGCCAAATGAGCCATATAGTGAGTGGGGGCCCACAAAAAAAAAAAAATGCAACTGATTTATGGGTCCTCTAGGCCTGAGTTATTACTGCGGACCTGCACCATCGAATCAAACATGAATGACGCTAGCTACTTCTTTATCCTAACTTTCTCTCTCTAAAACTTTGCACAGCTCCCCTCTTTCTCTCTCTAAAAGCTTTCCTTCACTTGCTAAATCAGCGTGAGCTTAATGTGGTTTGACGTAAAAAGAAGAAAGCTTTCTAAAAGTAGCAGACTGATATGATAACCAAAGCAGTCGGTCACCGACAGACACCTTTCTTGCGTTACGTGTCGGCACCTCAATCGCCGATCTCTTTCTAATTGTTGACTTGTATTTTAAAATCTCTTAAATAGTGTTTTAAACGTGGATAACCAATATATTTGTGATTTATTGCCTAATCCTTGCCATTATCAAACCTTGGCGACACGTGGCAAAATGGTATTGTTGTGACTTGTAACGATGTTCTTCTAATGTCAGAAAATAAAAGAAAAAAGTGGCCTTTAAACCCAAAAATTCAAATAAAATTGTTATTCACTATTCACAAGACATGCCATGCATGATGAGGATAACAAAAACAACATGGACTTTATTGTTTATAGAACAGCTAGGAATGCCAAGAGAGTCAATTTTTTCCATCCACGCCGAACCTAATTGAGGTTAAAAGTCAAATGTCCAAGCTGTATTTTGGATATATTGATTTTACTTTTTGAATGATTGTTTTAAAACATTATATATTTTATTTTATTTTATTTTAAAAAAAAACAAGTTAGTGAAATGTTATATGATAAAAAAAATAATAATAATAACACATAACTAAGAGAAGTGGAAAATTTTATAGAAGTATTAGATTAACTACATTGTACAGAGTCTCAACGAATCACACTTATATTGATAGTGTTGGGTCCAAAAAAAAAGATAAGAACGTCTTTATATACAGCGGAGATGAAAATGTTAAGATAAATCAGTGATGTTATGCGCTTAATGTTTTACATTTTAGGCCTTTTACTTGCATCTTTTATTCTCTTAATAATAGTTTATTTGTAATTTTACGTTGTTTTATTATTTTTATTTATTTCAGGGCTTTAATTGTAAAATCAGTTAAGACCAGTGATCCTGAACTTTAAAAGATAACATTCCGTGGGACTGAGCAATGTTGAAGATCCAAGTCTAATTATACTTAAAAAATAGTCCAAAAGAAGTCCCAAGTTGATGAGAATGGAAATAAGAAGAAAAGGAAAAATCATTCTCTAAAAAGGAAACTTTCGTCTAAGTTGGTAACTTGAATTCGTTTTGGTAATCTGACTGTATCTCTCTCCTCGAGTGTCAAAACAACTTAATTCTTTCAAAGTTTGAAAGGAAATTCGAAGTGTTACAATTTTGTATTTCACCAGGATTCCTTAAAACAGCTATTTACCTTGTCAAAATTGGCCTGGAAGTCTGTACGAATTTTGGAATCCTTATTTAACAGAATTTATATGTATGTCTTCTATAAGAAAAAGTGAATTTTAGGGTTGATCTTTTACTATTTAAAGGGAGTTCTCTACAAAACGGAACGATCATACAGAGGAGCTTGAGGTTGAGAAGAAGGAAGGGATCAATCCATGGCGACGAAGATGTCTTCCTCAACCATGAAGAATTTCATTCCAGTCATGCTTGGTTAAACGCTTTGCTAGGGTTGTGATGTAGCCCTAACTTAGCACACTGGTTTGATTGTATTTAATTATTGGAGAATAATTTTTATCATGCATGATTGTGTAATTTATAGAATTTTTAATTGACTTTTCAATAAGAATTGGTTTTAGAGTTTTAATTCAATTACAAATATTTTTCTATCTTATCTTAGATATTTTAATCTTATAATTGAACACAACTCATTTCACTTCTTGTACTTGTTAATGAGATGATTACACAATGGTATTTCTTTAAATATAATGTTAAAGATTTGATAGATTATGCCTAGAAAAGATAGATTATGCTACGCCCTAGAGTAAAGTAGATAGGTAGATCGTTTATACCAATCGAAGATAGTCCATACTTAGCTTTAAATTATATTATTTTCTAGTTGAATTAATATGTGCTTGTAACCATGATTAATTCCCTATGCATGTTTTATGATATATCTCTAATAAATTGCTGTAATTGACTGGTGGTGCGACGTTAGTGGTGAAATCATACCCCTAGTCCTCTCTCTCTATTTTCTACATCCTATTTAATTATTGTTCTTATTTTATTTTTCTACTTAGTTAATTTAAAATAAATCATCACAATCTGATTATCCTACTTTCAAGTTAATTTAGAATTTAAGAAATCTGTTGATAAACTTATTTTACACAAATCCCTTGGATACGGCACCCTAACAAGTAAATCCTATCTGCAAAGATTCGTGCACTTGCGAGTGGTACATATAATTCTCACAACAAGTGAAGTAACGAGAAGGGAGAAGATCATTAATGAAAGTGGGAAAGAAACTAGGTATGACACCCATTGATTAGAAAATTATAGAGAGCAAGCTTAGATGGTTTGGACGCAGGGACAGACTCAGGAATTCATTTGAGGGGGGCA